CGACACAGGCCACGAGCTTCAAAAGCCCCCGAGACGAGCGTGGCAGCTTCTCTCCCCCCGGGAAGTGCTTTCGGTGAGCCACCAAAGGCTCCACACCGGCACGGTTTGGTTCTGCTCTCCGTAGCTGGGTACTTCGATGGAGAACGAGGTAGGCGCTGGTTTTATATCATTTCTCAGAAATGCAGAAGCTATTGTTCCACGTTGCGTCATGCCGGGTGATGCCTCCGCCTTGGATTTGGGCTCCCCAAATCTTCCTTCGAGGAGAGCCTGTGGCTCTCCCATGGGGCTCGAGGGTGTGGGGTGGTGGGGAATGATGGTCCCATTGCAGCATCCTCCCAGCCCTACGGACCCTGCCTGCATCCTCAAGGGAAAAGCGAGAGTTTCTTCTCCATACGGATTGGGCTGGTTCCGGCAGCCTTGGCACAGGGAGGAGAACCGAGCCAGAGCCACTGGACCCCAGCTGGTGGAGGGGGAAGCATCTGGGGGCCCTGACCTTGGCAGCAGATTTCTGCATCTCTCTGCTTTTGATTCTGAAAAGACGCTGGGGGAATGAGATCTTTACACACCGGCGGCCGAGGTTTGAGGTCAGACACCCTCGTAATTGGGGGGGACAGAGCCGGGGTCGAGCCCCAAGCTCCGGTCTTGGCAAACCAGCCTCTTGTGTTCGGGATTTTCTTCTTTCTGAGGCCAGGAACAGTCTCAGCCCCTCGGCAGGAGCCGGCTGGATTGCACAGCGCAGGGTGCTGCTCCGTTTCGGGAGGGATGCTGTCCCTAAAATCTGCAGTGCTTGGCGGTCCTGGTCCTGCTGCTGTAAAGGCAGAGCTGTTTCACGAGGCCAGCATCATGTAGCTGTGTTTTCTGTTCCCTTTTGTCCTATAAACTCTCTCTATTTTTATCTCCCTGGTCCAAGGGACGTTTTTTCAGGGCCGGGCTGTCCCCAGCGTCCTTGCGGTGCCTGGCTCACTCTGGGAGCTGGTAAATACAATTCAACCAGGAGCTTTTCCATCCCACTTTCCCATCCTAGTACAACGATTTCAAATTCTTTCGGTCCGGCTTTAATCTCTCTTGTTCCTGTAGATCTTTCATGCTTGTCTACCTTGAGCAAAGCAAGGAGAGAGGCCGAAGCTGCCCGATGGGAGCTGGTCATCAGCTGCTGTGCAGGGAGGGACGCTGCTGGGAGGAGGTGAGGTGGTGATGGCACTGCCCCACTAAATGTAGTGTCCTGCGGCAAGGCTCGAGCAGTTTAGGTGAAAGCTCTGCGGCAGTTCTTGATGGTGATTTGCAAGGCAAGGTCCTGCGGTGGACGGCGGCAAGAAATGGGCTGAATTTGCTGGAGTCTGCTGCTCTTTGAGGTTTTCCATGCTTTTCTGAGCAGGAGCATGTGGTTTATATTTAATTAATTTGCCTTTCGAAGCATCTTTCCTGCCTCTGCAGATCGTATGGTCCTTTTTCTTGCCCGAGAGAATCAGGAAAGCCAAAGTGTGGATGCCCATGAGCATCAGTGCCATGGGATGGGGCAGCCGGAGCCAAGCGTGCGTGGGGACATCGGAGCTGCGTGGCCGGGCAGGCAGCAAGGCCACCAAGGAGCTCTGCCTTTCCCCTCCCCACTGCCATTTAACGCTGCTGTGAATCCCTAGCGTTGGATCTACCCACTTCAAAACACCCATTTGAGCTGGTAAACTTGGAATCGGAGGAGTCCACGTGCTCTCCCGGCCATTTAGCCGTCGGGCGGGCTGGTGTGGAGCTTGGCAGTGCTGTACCACGGGTGGGCTCTGCAGCGTTTGGGGCTGTCTGCCCTGCGCCGAGGTGGACGGACGGTGGTGATGGTCCCTCTATAGCTGGGAGCCCGGGTGTGCACGCTGCTGCTGGCTGGACTCCTGTTGGCTCCGATGTTTTTCCAAACCCAGCGCTCAATGGTTTGGGAACGATGAAGACCAGTTTTTCCCAGGGGAGGCCATCTCCTGGGTCGTGTACTCGTGTTTGCGGGTCTCTCGAGAGACCTCAGACAAGTTTGGAGCATCTCTGCCTTTTCCTTTTGCAGTCCTTCATCAACTTGCCCACTGCAAATGCTTGGGTGAAATATAAAATTGCGCCGAGGCGAGGAGAAAGCCTGCCGGTTTTGCACGTGGCCATGGCTCACTCAGTCTTACAGCTCTTAATCTGAATATATATTTGTATTTATTCTTAACTGGGAGGTTGGACATCGTGACTTTTGAGGGAAAAACATCCCATTTTGGTAGCGGGTGCTTACCGGCACTTGTGTTCTTGTGACGTGTCGTGGGAAAGGGGTTTGCAGTCGAAGGTCAGGTACTCGTGGATTCGTAGTTCAAAACCAGCCTGTCCGTGGGGCGGTTGGGGCTGGTGAAACCAGGCTGAGAGTACAGATGTACGAGTGCTGGGTGGTGGGTGCTGCTGGTTTCCCCCCCCCCTCCTTATTTTGGTGCAGAAACTCCCTCTCTCGCCCTTAACCCTAACGCCCTGGCGTTTCCCTTTCTCTCCTCAGCCTGGAATAGTGTCTCCTTTCAAACGAGTCTTCCTGAAGGGTGAAAAAGGTCGGGATAAAAAAGCCCAGGAGAAGGTTACGGAGCGACGGCCTCTGCATACGGTGGTGGTGTCCCTGCCTGACCGCGTCGAACCAGACGTGCTGCTGAATGACTACATCGAGAAAGAAGTGAAGGTAACATCTGCCTGGCTGGGGCTCGTCTATAACGACATATAGCGTTTCGATAGCTTAAAGGCATGAGGGATTTTCCATACATAGGTGCATTTAGCAGCTTCTAAACAGGCGCTTGGGCCACCCTCCCTTTGCTCTGTGTTCATGGTGTCTTTCTTGCGGTAGCTGGCGTGTTCAGGGCCGTGCTTAGCGTGTACGCGCTGTGATAACGGTCTGGTTCTTCTTTTCCAGTATTTAGGTCAACTCACATCCATCCCAGGGTACCTGAATCCCTCCAGCCGCACGGAAATCCTGCATTTGATCGATAATGCAAAGGTGAGCACTCAGCCTGTTGAATGACCCGCTCTGTGTAGTCTCCATCTAACATGCAGCGTGAAAAAAAAAAAAACAAACGACTTGCAAACGACTTGCGGAGCTTCCTCGGGGCTGGGTCCTGGTCTGACTGGTGTCCTCCATCCTGCTGTTCCAAACGTGGGAGGGAAGCCTGTTACCAAAGGGGAAACAGTTCGGCAAATCGATGTAAATATGTTTATTTCAGCG